TTTATCTGTCATAGGCAAGTTAAATTAAAGCTGGAGAAAATGTGTCTTTCTGTAAGGCTGCTACGTTGTCTTGTTGGATTTGTCTCGTGAAGTAGTGGAACTAGGCTTTGCTTGGGCCTGAGATTGTGCTTCAGACCTAGGCCTTGGTGCGGTGCCACTTCTCGGAGTCCCTGGTCTATCCCGATGTTCTTCCCCAGCTTGGGAGTTTGGAGGAGGCCTTTTGGAAGTCCCTGGGACCTCTAAAGGTCTCTGAGAAGTTGAGGCTGGCTCAGATTTGGATGATGTTTGTTTAGAGGGAGATTCAGTCAACAGTGGAGACTGTGAGCCAGAAGCAGCAGATGGGCTCAAGCGGTCAGGAGAATCAGGACGCTCCAGACGACATTCTTTTATCTTTGGGTGGGTGGGATCTGTCTGGGGACGCTGGTCCTTTGTCCGCTCCGAGGCCTCTTTAGTACCTGGGATGTTGAGTTTGACAGGGCCAAGCACACTCTTAGCCACAGTGGCCAGTTGAGACACGACTTTGTCCATTCCCCTCTCAGAGGGAGTGGATGGAGAGGCTGCAGCAGTGGCAGTAGCAGCAGCGGCAGCTGCAGCCTGTCTGCGATTGTCAGCCTCCTTCATCTCCTTGGTGATGCCTCCAGTTGGTGTGGTAGCAACAGGGATATACCTGGTCACTCCAGAAGCAGTGCTAGGATCCATTTTACCACTGGTTTTGGACCTGGGCTCAGAAGTTTTGGGGGTCCTCTGGGAATCCAGTGGAGGTGTTGTGGGTTTGACAAATGGGTCTTTGCTGACAGAGGTAAAGGCGCTACCATGGGTGGAAAAGGTGCTGGATAGAGGGCTGGGTTGAGGTGGAGAAGGCGTTACACTGAATTGAGAGTCCTGTGCCTTTGACTCTTTCTTTTTTGACTCTTCAGCTAGTGTTGAACTGGAGCCTTGGGCCACAATAGAGGTTGTAGGATTCTGTTCTGGAGGCTTGGCGGTACCTTGCATTGACAGTGAGGCTGAAGTTTGTGTCTGAGATTGAGTGGTACTTTGGCTTTGTATCTGCAGTCCCCTGCTGGGCTGAAGTAAGCCTGGAGGTGCAACCATTGAGGGCAACAGTCCCAGTGTTGGTGGAGCTGCTGGTCCCATCCTGATGGTATGGGGAGAGGCCATTACAGTAGTAGGCCTCAAGACATGGCTTGGAGGAACATAGCTTGTCCTACGTCCATCTTGGCTATCTTCCGACCCTTCATCTGTCTCATCCTCTGAGGAGTCCACCTCGTGGATGGCATCCTGCTTTTGAAGAGACTCGCGGCGGTCAGCGCGATCCTGGCGTATGGCAGACAGCTTGTCTTTCAGTTTACTCTTCCCAGGAACAAGT